CCTTTTTTTTTTTTTTTTCTTTTTCTTTTTAGAAGTTCATAGGACTCCTGGATTTCTGTCATCTCTGTGGCTCAGCTTCAGCAGCTAAGGATTTCTCACATATCTAAAATCTGCTCTTATCAACTGAATTGGAAATTAGAATAGTTTTAAATGTTCCCTGAAGGACCCAAGTGAAGTGACAGGGGATCACTTCTTCCTAGAGACAGGCTTTTTACAATTTTGACACACTTAAGGAATTTTGATTATCAAATAAATGTTGTCATATATTTGAAGATATTAGAACAATGTTTTTGTGCAAAACTTTCAAAGTTATTGATCAGTAGAAGCAATTTTCCACTCCCTGAAAAAACTGGGCTTTCATGCTACAATAACATCTGATTATTGCTGTCTCTCAGAAAAAGGAAATTATATCACTCAAATAAAATTATAGTTGTATTTAGTCTCTTGGTCTATTCAGTAGCTTTTTCTTAACGGTAGAGATTATAAACTCAGTAAAGCTGAGAGGAAAGTAATAGAGCAGAAGGCATTGTTAGGATGACTTTGGGTTGTCCCTGCATGTTCCTCATTTGCTCTCAGCTAAGTAGGCCACCTTTGACATTGTATGTCTGAACATTTCTTTCATATATTAGGAGACGATTGATGGATTTCAATTTCTATTACCTGTTCTTGTGTTGATGATCCTAATAATGTAGTCTCTTTGAGATGAGCTCATCTTAGAATAAAAATAAGGCTTGTATACAACTCCCCTGAGGTGTAACCAGTCATCAAAGATGTGTATACTTAATGATGTTTGTTAATTTACAGGCAACGATCAGCACTAGGAGAATGCTTGGCCGCTTTCTCAGGTGCCTTTCCAGTGGCTTTTTTGGAAACTCATTTGAACAAACATAATATCTACTCAATTTACAATACCAAGAACGTGAGAGACAGAGCAGGTATTTCAAGAAACTCACCTAATGATTTCACTATAAATGCTGCTTGCCTTAATACGTGTATTTTTGCATACATTTTATAGTGCAAGAATTTTCTTCTAATCTCTTGGTTGTATTTCTTTCCTAAATCAATGGGCTAAGTCTGGTGAAACCGATTATTTTACATTTCTAAAGATACCAATGTTTTCATTTTGAGATACCATTCTCAAAATACCACTTTGGAATCAATTTATTGAAGGGACTTGGCACATTTTTAGTATCTCAGATATTACATATATCATGATTAACTTATGTATTCTAATCAGTAACTTTAGTTCCTCAGTTTTCATATGCAATATTGAGTCCCTAAAACATACATACTTGCAATTGAAGCAAATACCTTTGCCTGTATTAAGTACATAATATACCCTTAGAAACAAAATACACTGCAAAGTAGCATGTAAATTATTTTTTCTTTGTTTGAATTATAAGATACTACAGATAATTTCCAGTAACATTATGTATGTTTATTTTGCATATACCTTTTTGTTCCATTCTGAAACTCTTGATGTTTCTTATACTAAAACATAGTTGTTGAATAAGGTCATACGCACTATTGTTCCTACGGTAAATAGAAGTTACAGTAGAACTGTACAAACTCTGCATATATGCTAGTGTGAGTTATATCACAGATATGTATAGGTGACAGTGTATAAGATGCCAGTTTATAGTGGCATCCATTTTATAACTTCACCTTTATATTTAAAAAAGGGAGCATACCAGGTTTATTCTTCAAAGAGCTCTAGTATCTTATCTTGAGTATATCAACATTCATCTTAACATATACATTCTAGCTATTTTAATACATCTTGAAAGACAATCAGCTGTATTTTCATTGATTTTTAACAGAAATTCCATTTTATTTTCCAAAATTGCATTAAGCTTTAAGGAAACTGCGATGGCTGTATACAATGTATTTGGGTCTAAATAGGAGAAAAGACTGTTTTTGGAGAAAGACTAACCTTAAGCTGTGTTGGTAAAAACATTTAGATTCACAAATTGCAGGCTAAATTTTTAATATATAGATATCTGTATATCTCATTGTATGTGTACATTAGGATGTTAGACATTCAAGAGCTAGTAGTTTTGCTTACAGATATTTACTTGTAGATTAAAGAAACTGCCTCCAAAAAGAAAGGCAACTGCAGTGCCTTTTCAGAGGAAGGAACTGATAATTCAAATAACTTGAAAAGTAAACATTTACATTCAGAAATTCACCTCCAGAAGTCAGTTTCTCAGAGTCTGCTCTACTCATTATGTCAGGCAATGATCTTTTTTCTTCTATTAACAGTCCAGGTTTGATCTGAGGTGTTGTGGAGAGGTGTTTCATTGTATCAATTTGTCTCCTCAACTGCAAAGCTTATGTTGGAAGAAATTCTGAAATTTAAGCTTTATTGTGAATATAGCAAACTGCATCTGATTTCTCTGAATTCATTCCATAATAATTACATTGTTGAAACTTCCATATAGGAATTATTTTTCTTATAGAAAGTTTTATTATTGAAGCTTAAATATACAAAGTTTATTACTCAATGGCATGAAAGTACTTGTTTTTTAGTATTGTGTTTAGAGTTTTTCCCCTTGGATCAGAAGGGCATAAATGTAAATAGAAAACAAAAGTTGTATGGAATAGCAATTGAAAATAATTTTTCCCCCTCTATGACTTAGTTTATTGATTTTTGAATTTTTTTTTTTTTCCAATAGTTCTCAATTTACCTACTAGTGTAGAAGAGGTTTGCCCAAATATTCCTTCCTTAGTGAAGCTAATGGAAGAAATTGTGGAACTGGCAGAGTCTGGTATTCGTTACACACAAATGCCACATATCATGGAAGTCATACTGCCTATGCTGTGTAGTTACATGTCACACTGGTGGGAGCATGGGCCAGAAAACAACCCTGACAAGGCTGAAATGTGTTGCACAGCCTTGACGTCAGAGCACATGAACACTCTGTTGGGTAACATATTGAAAATCATCTATAACAACCTTGGTATTGATGAAGGAGCATGGATGAAGAGATTAGCAGGTAAGATGTAAAAATAAATAAATAAATAAGTAAACAAACAAGCATATGTGTGTGTATTCAGAATATGTGTGTGTATATATATTCACTGAATTACTCTGTATTTACCTGTTAAAGCTGGAGTAGGACAACACTCATATTTTTATATTTTTAAACAATACAGATCTTGATGAACCAGAAATATTAAGTATAAAGAAAGAGCAGAGTAAGCAGTATGTTTTAATCTCTTAATAAATAATATAAGAAGTATATTAGACTATTTCTTTTTTCCCAGCACATGCACATACGTGTTTTGCAGTATATTGAATTAGAGGACTATAGTTATTTAGCCCGTTTTCATTATATAGCAAGTTTCCATTGGCAGGCATTACACAGTTCCTTGTCATTCTGTATGAGTGCTGGATCCTTAAAATATTGTTTTGAAGCTGTATACATAACATATCTATTACAACGAAATGTGGAAATGCATGTGTTTGTTATTTTAGTAATTCTTACATTAAGTTCATTGTGATAACACCTTAAAATTTATTTAAGACCAGTTTATGTCTCGACGTTACAATCTGTAAGGAAAAGTCACTTCAGTGTGGTGAATTCAGTTTTTCAATTAGGCTTTTCTATGACTTTTCACTACTTACTGTAGCAGTAATTTCATTCATGGTAGCAGACTGGATTCCTACTCTTTTGAGGGTTAGTAATGTGATGCACTCTAAGGATAAGTGGTAACTGCCTAAAATTCTTTGTAATCTGATGGATATGTTACAAATGGTTTTGCACTAATGGGCCTAGATGCTAATTTACTTATTCATTTTTATGAATAGAGTTGCAAAAAGCTTGTACTAACAAGTCTCAAATGGCTGGTTGATGGATGGTTGAATCAGTCTCATTTCTGTCTACTCACAAGCCTTCCAGTGTCCTAATGGACATAAGAAATACAGGCAGGCTGTTTCAGTAGATTTGCAAATATCTCGAGCGTGCTTTCCAGTTCTACTTCACTCAAGCTAAAAAGCAAGGTTCAAAAGAGGAGCCAGTGGCTGAGAAAACTTGTGTGCGCACTATGTAGCTATATACATGTCCACCCATACACACCATTACATAACTTCTGCATTACTGAATAAAATTCTGCAGGCAAATACCAATAGGCTGATGGAATACCGATAAAGAGGCATTTCAAGTTTTATTATCTTGCAAGCTTAGTCTGTGAAGGTGTAACTTCTGCCCTCATAAGTGAGAAAGTGAATTGACTGTGTGAAATCCTGACCACATTTAATTCTTGGCAAAACTTCTGCTGATTTCAATGGGGGCAGGATTTTACTCCATAGCCTAGAAACAAGATCCAGGAAAGGTAAAAGTTTTTATTTATATCTTGTGGTCAGGTATATATTATAACATTCATTGCCTTAAATAGTGTTTTCCCAGCCCATCATAAGCAAAGCGAAGCCACAGCTCTTAAAGACACACTTCCTGCCACTGATGGATAAGCTAAAGAAAAAAGCAGCAGTGGTTGTATCGGATGAAGAACATCTAAGAGCAGAAGGCAGAGGTGACATGTCGGAGGCTGAACTGCTCATCCTAGATGAGTTCACCACTTTGGCACGGGACCTCTATGCCTTCTACCCTTTGTTGATTAGATTTGTGGACTATAACAGGTATGTGGAGAGGAACAGGTCAACGAATCTCATAAAATCTTCCTGCTTATTGCTACCGTCTCTTATCCCTTGATATGCCTAGCTCTCATAGGCTGCTATCAGCCTGCTAATCTTGAAGCTGACGCTTTATGACTTTTAGGAGGAGCTGGGGTCTGTTTCAGAAAAAAAACAAAAAAAAAAAAAAGAAAGGTGCAATCCAAATCTGTTGGATTAATGTAAAAAGATTTTAAGAGTTTTGAAATAGGATATGAAAAAGCCACTGCTACCCAAAAGGATTAAAAGCATGCGTGCTTGGTTTTGTTGGCTTGTAAAATGCTGAAAACTGATTTCAAAGCATAAAGCCAGTGAGGATCATCCACATTTCCACCCTTTTACCAAATTTTAGGGCAAAATGGCTGAAAGAGCCCAACCCTGAAGCGGAAGAATTGTTCCGCATGGTGGCTGAGGTCTTCATTTACTGGTCAAAGTCTCATGTAAGTAATTCCTTGGTACATACTTGTTTTAATTAGGTTTCTTAGTAGGCTGATCAATTATTAAGTGGTTGCATTTGGGAAAACACCATTTAATGACAGACATGAAACTGCAGATCGGAAGCTATTAAAAACTTTCAGTTTTCTGACACTTTTGAAATGCCTGAGTTGATCGATGTTTTGTAGCATAGTAACACTGTAGATATTTTTCATTGTTTGTCATGGGGTTTTTTGTTTGTTTGTTTTTATATATATTAAGTTCCTTGAGGTCTGTGTCCTTACCTTTTTTTTTTTTTCCCCAATTAGTTATTTTCACCCCCAAAGCCTTTTTATAACCAGGATGTATGGCTGCTAAATTAGTGGTGGTTGTCTCATTGAATTCCATTTTCCTAAATTGTACAGTCTGTCTGCTTGAACCTCTTGACAGATTTACAATAAAAATCATGTGGAAAGGTCCTCAACACGACTAGTGGAAGAAGATTTTCCTGAAGGAAATGTGCAGCTCTATTTACAGTCACTTAATTTGTGTTGCAGTGTAGATTTGTATTTCTATAATAAAAGTTAACGGTATATAATTCAGTTATTAAGCCTAAGTCTGTATCTGGATTGAATGAAGGAAAGTCAGTAAGTGTTCTAAGAGCAAGGAAGTAGCAAATCTATCTTACAAGTAATTCTCCGAATAAAATATGTTTTCCTAGATGATACTATTTCGTATATCGTAAATTTTACCATTTAAGGTTTTCTTCTTAATTCCACTTCTTCAAAATTTATCCTTGGTTCTCAAGTTTGATTCCTCTGGTTCATATGCAAGAACCAAGGGGTCTGCATTACAACCTAATCTGGCACCATCACTGATAGTGCTTAAATAAAAATCAAACATGATTCGTGTGAATACTGGAACAAAAAGAAAAAAGAACCCAAAAGAGACTAAATACTTGCAGGCATTGGATCTCTGTGTGGACTGTTGTCTATACTGAATTTCTTTTCTGCCATAACTGCAATTCTCTCAAGTTTGAGAAACAAGATGCCTTATTATTTGTGTACTCGTGTCTGAATTTGACTGTAAGATTTTTTATAAACATTGCTGTGCACAGAAACAAGATCATCAAATAACTAGTGTATTCATAAGTTCAGTCTATTATTTAAAGTTTCTTATGTATCTGAATATAGTGGGATTTTCAATGGGGAAAAAAATGAAATGGATTATTTACTAGTAATGGAAAACCCAGACAATATATTTATACCAAATTAGAGGAGGAGTGAGATTTTTATCATAGCCATTTCATAGCCAGAGAAACATGACACTTTCTCTCTAACATAGGGAAAAAAAAAAAAAAAAAAAGAAATAAACCCCCCCAAAAACACACAACCCCCTGTGCTATGTTGTGTAAATAAAACTAGAATTCAAGACCATTATTGGTCATCCATTAATCTTTTCTGTCCTTGTCTTATGTTGTGGATTTTAGAAATTTCCAGTTAATTTATATTTTTATTTAAGACGTGTTTAGATAGATTCCTCATATATTATAAGTGCTTCTAACTGACATCTTCTATATATTTCCAGAATTTCAAAAGGGAAGAGCAGAACTTTGTGGTACAAAATGAAATCAACAACATGTCTTTCCTTATCAGTGACACCAAATCTAAGATGTCCAAGGTAGTGTAAAATTTTTCCTATTTTTCTCTCTGCAGAGGGAAAGGAGACAGGACTCCTCCAGAAGAGCACTTTTTTTTTCTTTTTTTGTAACAATATCTGTTGCAAACACTGGGTTGAGAATCTAAACGTGATCGTTTGAGAAACACAGTGGACTTTCAAGATAATGGTGCAAAATATTGAAAATGATATAATGGCAGTTCTGTTGGATGGGGTTGCAGCTGTATAGGTAGTAAGGAAATTGTCTAACCAGAGACAATTCAAAGTTGCTAGTACACTTCTTTTATTTAATATTGGATTCTTTTTCATCTTTGCTTTATGCTGCAGGCAGCAGTTTCTGACCAGGAGAGGAAGAAGATGAAGCGAAAAGGTGACCGGTACTCTATGCAGACCTCTCTCATTGTGGCAGCCTTGAAGAGATTACTTCCTATTGGCCTAAACATTTGTGCCCCTGGAGACCAAGAGCTAATTGCACTGGCCAAAAATCGATTCAGTATGGTAGGTGCTCTTTTTGCACTTCTAAAAGGTGGAAATATTTTACTAATGAAGTTCTTTGAATATTTTCCCCCATGCTCATTCTTACAGCATGAGACAAATAATCAAGACTATATAAAGGCAAAATGGATCACTATGGTAAATAATAATCTACATATTGTTCTCATTCTCAGGACATAAAACATTTCAGTTTGTACATAATTATTTTCTAAATGATCAGTATATGAATAGAGGTGGCATTCTTAAATTAAAAGTTATTTCTGTCTCTTAATTTTTAATGCTAAATTATGTTTGTTATATTTTATGAATGCAAATAAGAACTGGATGTTTCCTAACTTCTATGCCCAATATAATAACTAATTTCTTTTGATCACTGTCATGTGAATGCAAGAATTTCTGTAGGGATAGACTGATTTAAAAGTGATTCTTCTAGGAGTAAACTCACAGTGCAATAATGTGTTGTAAATTGGAATATACTCCTTTCTCAGTGATACTTTATACACCCTAGTGGGTTATATGACCTTCAGACAGCTAAACTGAATGTTTATAAGGGATAAATGATCTCCAAAATAAACAGAAATCAAATCAGAGAAGGCTGTGTTCATGATACTGGTTTCATTTGGTCAAACTTTGGTTAAAGTTTGGTATAAAGTATATATACATATATACTAGTAATTTTTATCCAGAATTGCTTTTAGTGTGTTGCTGTGAACAAATATGCCATCCAGACCTTGTTCCTGTGAGCTTGGACATGGCTAGCTTTGGCCTGATACAAAAAAGACGTATTGCCACTGAGATTGAGGAAAATGTTTTATTCATCATCTGAGCTAAGCCCAAGGTTGACATTTATATGAACAATATCTTTTCTTCATTACCTTCTATTCCTAATTTATATGATTTTTAATTTATTCATAGAAAGATACTGAAGATGAAGTACGAGATATCATTCGCAGTAATCTTCATCTCCAGGGCAAGGTAATCTATACGCAGTTTTTAAACCTTATTTTTCTTCCTTTGAATTCATTGGTTGGTGCCATATAATGACAACCTTCCTTGGTTTGTTAGGATAACTTGTTATTCTTTTTTTCTCTTCTGTCAAGTAACTTGTTCATGTCAATTGTTAAATGTTAAGTTTTTAATGTGTTTATATGTGCATTATATACAGTAACACGTGGCCCTTCAAATCTCTGCCTATGCACACCATTAATATGAAACTGGAGATAGAAGCAAGGTTTGTCACTGTTTAAACTGTCTGTTATTCAGGATAAAATCTGCAAAATGCTCAAAGTTACTTTGTATCAGTTTGAAGTGTAAAGGAAAAGGAAACTGCTGTTTTGGCATACTCTGTGAAGTGAAAAATCTCCACTTTGCTCAGTTTTGTTCCTGTTTTTCAGCCTAGGGAAAAGAAAGTACTTTGGAAAAAGCGTAGATTTTTGTTACCGAATACCAATTAGTGCCAGATGAATAGCCCTAGGGAAAAAGTTCTGAACTGGCCAAGTGCAGTTGAACTGTTTTATTAATGCTTCAAATAATGACAAAGAAGAAGCCATAATACAGAAGTGTAATAAAATGATGGACACTTCTTCTCTGTTGAAGGAAGGTGGAGTTGGACCTATGGATGGTGCTTTATTTAGGAATGTCCTTTACCTCCTCCCCCTGCCCTAGGGTTTATTCACCTTAAGTAAAAAACTAGCTAGTATTTTCTGTGCTCATTAAATGGTTACAAGAGAATAAACATGAGAGTTGGAAATCTGGCTTTTTTTTTTTTTTCTGAATGAGTATTTAAGAATCATCCAGAAGTCTAGATTCCACTGCAATTCAGTGCATGGCAATAAACGTTTTTGGTTTTGTTTTGTTTTTTTTTTTTAAATGACTTGGTAATGGGATGGTTCTTCCTGAATAATATATGAAGATTAATTTTCTCCCATCTTATGTTTTCTGTATATCACTGCAATGTCAAGCAAGATTATGAGGAGGTTGGAGTTTCTGGGAGCTCACAGGAAGATACATCATTTTGCAAAGCTAACAATTAGTGTTTTTCATAAAATACTATCAATAATAGTCCAATAGTTTTAAATTATAGGGATTGTACATAGAAAAGTTTATGACTGAAAACAAAAGATTTGGTTAAATTCTAAATGAAGCTTGAGATACTTATCCTTACATAGCAAATACTGTTATATACTGAGAAGCAGAAGAGACCACACAGGCACAGTACTAGGAAGAAAAGAGCGTTTATGAAGATCTTAATGAGCAACAGTACTTAAGCAACATGCACACCATGAACATACAAACCTTAAATGTGTTGTGATTTTGTATGTGAACATCAGTAATGTTTTCTTAATGATGAAGATAGGTATTTCTGTTCTGATATTTTCAGTATGTGTATATTATCATTTTGTGAGCCATGCAGTTGTAAGCCTTGCCTGGCATTTCATGCTGCTTCTTAGCACTTGTCCTCCTGTTTTAAATACTTCAGTTTCTGTTTTGTTTCTTTGGGGTTACATTCTGCATACTGCTATTAAGAAATTTCTGTCTGTTACTGCTTTGTTGCCTTGGAGTAATGATACTTCTTAATACTTTGACGTGTACTTTCTCTTCAGAAACTTCCTTTGCTTCAGTTAAAAGTTTGCTATTGTACAGCAACATATCACCTCCTCTGTTTATAACACATGAGAATAAAAGTATTTTTACATTTCTTATATTGATGAAATTTCACAGTGCGTTGATAATTAAGAAGGAAGTAATCTTAGCTAATCCAAAGCACACTTTGACAGGTTTTCTAGTTGTCAGCTTTTCAGCAGTGGCTTTGGATTTTCCTAATTCCCAGTGGAAGATGACATTCTGAAAGGGAGCGACATAAAACATAGCTAACAAAGCTAAATAGCTATTGTATCTAGCTTTATTTTACAGCTACCTACATATTGCTTTATTAGCTTTGAAAAGCTCTGGTTTTGACCTGTATGTGAAAAGTAGTCAACTCAACTATGGACAAAATACGGCATTTCTAGGATTTCAAAACTTCAATTTATTATGTATTTATTATCTTTGTTATGATTTGTTATCTATTGCTAAATAGTTTGTTCTCAGTGGCTCGAAAGATATCTTTTCATGAATCATTTAGCACTGACACATTCTAGAGTCCACATTAAACCTAAATGTATAACTTAGTTATTTAAAAGTATAGCGTATAAGGTTAAATTTGGTAGTTATTTCCAAAGTACAATATAATTTATTCCGTAATTCTCTGGTGTCATTAATATTCCGTCACTGTTATGAGTGAATCAAGTACACGTCATAAACAGTTGAGTATGTTGTTTCTTGTTAAGAAAAATGATGGCATTATGCTATATGCATACACTACCTTTTTGTTGCCTGATTGAGTCAGACATAAAAGGAATGTAGTAGGCCAAATGGTCTTATAAATTTAAATTATTATTTAATGTTATGAATTAATATGTAACTTAGTTATAATGGTGTTTGTGTATGTGGCTTTCAAAACAGAGGAAAAATACTACTTTTCGGAAAGGCTGGTTTTCTTCCAGCTATTGCTATTTCATAGCAATATTCTTCCTTCAAATGGTGTTTTCTGTTGACCACTTTTGCTTCTCACAGACACCATACTTTGTCATTTATGTTAGAGCTAAAATGTAATTTATCTGGATTTCTTTTTGGGAAACTGCACTGTTTGAGAATCATCCTTCTGGATCTTTAGCTATTAATGTTGTGGTGTCTATTTCATGCATTTGTCTACCTTTGTCTACATTTGTCTTCACCCTGTTTCTGTCTTTCCTTTCCTTGCATGCCTGCATGTTGTTACTCAGTACCGAGCCTTTTATTTCAAGAAATTGATGACGAAACTTGCATTCATTTTGACATGGATGAAGCTCAAGTCACCAAAATCTTCTTCCAGCCATGCTAATTCACACCTTGAATTGTCAACTACTCATACCCTTAGAAAACTACCTATACAAAAAAGCTGTACCTTGATAGAATGTGAGGAGACCTCAGATCAAAAGACATCTCCACCTGTGATTAAAAATTCTTTTGTGGACTATCCATTCATGATGATCCAGTCAAATGCTCACACAAAGACTGTGGATGTGACAGTTGTTAAGAAATGGAAAAGCCGAAAGGTGGAAGAAATGCCTGCCAATTGTGGCTTTCTAGGTTGTAATAAGCTATTATTGAGCGACTGTGTAAGTTTATAATCATTCCTGGAACTTTGGTAAACTGTGTATCATAAGATGTTTTGTGGAGGTGAATTAGCATTATTGTCTCAGGCACAAATTGAAATCTGGATCCACAAAGATGTTTTAGAAAAGTAAGTGTTGAGTTTAATCCCTGTTTGATTCTGTAGAGTTTAGGCTCCTAAATGTTCTAGGAATCCAGGCCAGTGTGACTTAAACCTAAATTGCACAATCAGGAATGATCACTGGCCACAGCTCTCAGTAAAATGGGTTGCACCTTGCATTTGTCTTCAGTGTCATGGCACAAAAAATGGTTGCAAAGTGTGTTATGTCAGTGTTGATTAGCAGGAGCACTGGGGACACAAAATGAACCAAAAAAGAGATTGCTAATGGTAAAACAGAGAATCACAGAGCACTGAAATGGAAAATATGAAATGTCAAGAGAAAAATAAGAGGAAACATTTGGCTTCATACAGTTCTTTATAATTTGTAGGCTAATAAGAAAATGCATCTTGAATTCATTTTTCATAAATTAACTTTTCATTTTTTTAGCAAGTAATCAGTAAAATTAGGATTTTTCTAACAATTAAAAAAACCTAAAATGAAAAAAATTAGACATAAATAAGACTAATATTACTAATTTCCATGACTGAAAACCAAGTAATCCCAACAAGTAGAGCAGCAATTTCATTGTTGTTTGGTTTAATAAGTGGAAAGTCAGTGTACAAAGTTATGTCTGCCTACCTCATATTCATTACTTTTCCTCAAATAATATATTTATTGCTGGTGCCAGTGTTATTTGTTGGCCCATGAACATTTGCTCTTTGTATGATTATTAGACTTTTAGTCCTCTGGAAGGTCTCAAGAAACATTGCACAAATCAGTCTTTAGTTTTGTTCTCCCAGTCAGCGCAGTGGACACTCTATGGGTTAGCCAAGTAAATGTGTGGGTTAGCCATATAAAGTGCTTCTGTTCTCCTTTGAAGCAGTTTCTGTACTAATTCAACTCTTTGACCCTATGTTTGGAACATTTTGCCTTAGTGACATGTGAAATCTTTCTCCTGCAGCTTGAGGATCCCGCCATTAGGTGGCAGATGGCACTTTACAAAGATTTACCAAACAGGACTGAAGATTCCTCAGATCCAGAGAAGACTGTGGAAAGGGTCCTTGATATCGCTAATGTGCTGTTTCACCTGGAACAGGTTAGACACATTTTCCCAATTCCATTGCTTCTTAATCTAAAAAAAAAAGCATTCAGCCTTTAATTTATACTTTTACCTGCTGTATTTATATTCTTTTTTCTTTCTTTTGATGGCTGCTGTTTACGTGCTTTGCCTTGTGTTTTGTAATCCAATATCGTGGTCATATTGATCATACAGTGTATTTGCAGCAGTGTGTTTGGTTGTTTGTGATTTTGGTTTCTTCCTCCCCAAGAGGAGGAAGAAAGAGTCCATTACTTTCAGGTTTTAATTCTTTAAATTTTGAAATTAAAAAAAAATCCCCTATGTTGGTACATTTTACAAGTCAAGGACTACTTGAAAAATTTAGTTTTCCCATTTTACTTTCTGAATTATTAGATATTTTGTACTTTAGATTTGTTCTGTGTTTTCTAGGCTTCCTTTTTTAAAATGTACTGAAGCAATAGTATATTAGCTTCAAGGGTATTCCTAGTGGCAGAGATGAATGCTTCTGGTTACACCATAGACTATAAACCGACTGCATATAAAATTTGTTCAGGGTTTTGGTTTTTTTTTTTCCTTTTCAAAGAACATTTGGGAATTGAAGGCTCTCTTACTCTGTCATTAGATTAATTGGTTTCACTCAGAAGCTTGGCACAGTTTTTCAGACCCTGTGTCAGGAAGTTTCCATATTGTGATGAGGTCACTGGTTCAGTCAAGTAGGAATCAGAGAGAGATGTGAAAGTGCTCGTATATACACTGTGCAGTGCTTGATTGCTAAAAGTGAGTTTCAGAGATCTTCGAATGCACAATGTTGATATGAATACCTGTGTCCAGGCTGTTGCATCGCACAACTCTTCTTCATATAGTTTGCCAGCCTTAATATGGACTTGCTTCAAGTTCAGCAGCCTTACACAGTTTGATAGAAGAGGATGGAGAGGAGTCACTAAATTTTACCTGTTTTTGAATATGTGGGGAGCAAGCAAAAAGTTATAGAATATGGAAGTAAATCCATGGCACCCACGGTTGGTCTACTAGAGAGACAGACAGAACAATGGGTGTTGATTTGAAAAGATATATGGTGGCTGTGAGGAAGAAGGAAGAGTAGAGGAGAGAGAGAAAAAGAGCTAGAAACTCTGTCATAGGATCAAGCTCACAGGTACAGAATTCAGTAGTTGTACAGAACAGGACGGATTCCCCTTGTGATACCAGATCGACATTTCAGATCAGTCCTTCTGATCAGACTTAAACAATGACTTGTAGTGAAGTAAATGCTGGCTGCTTTTATTTTGGGTACTTTGCACCTGTGTTTAAAGATTTGGCTCCCCAGCTTTACTTATCATCTGTAGACAAGTGCTCAGGTCCTTTTGTTACTGAATGGATAATTCAATGTCTTTAAAAAAAATGAATATGTGAGCACTGGGTTTGTTTTTATGATAGTCTTGAGTAGTTTTTTGCTCTCCGTATGCAAATACTCTGTTCTCCATATATACATACTCTGAATGCTTTCCTTATTGAACTGGCAAAGATCAGTTCATTCTTTGCATTTTCTTTCCATGCACAGCTAACTTCTTTGTTTTTATTATTTTCAGAGAACTGCTTGCGTAGGCCGAGGCTATTTCTTTTGGGAAAGTATAGAGAGTTTTATAGTTGTTTCTGGAGATATTACTAATTACCTAATTTCACATTTGGGTTTGTCTGACTTCTAAATTATTAATATTGACTTTGTGACTGTAAATATATTTGCAGTGAACACTTTTCTATCCTTTCTCTTAACAAACATTTTTCATTTGTATTTTATCTTTTGGAAAGAACTTGTTTTAGAATGTCACCATTTAATCTTACAAGTGTAATTATCCATTTCACTGAATGCTTGAGAATATTTTAGTCTGTTTAATTAAATGTTTATTGTTTAACTAAGAATAATTTTTTTTTTATTTCACTAAACTATAGAAATCCCCTTGGATAACTATGTTTGGATTGAATATTGAGTCTACATAAACATCATCACTACATGTTTTAACTAAAATGCTCTATTTTATTTCAAGGGAGAAACACCAAGTCTTTCAGGTTAGAGATGGTAGCTTCAATTGACTCCCTTGATCATGTTGGGAGACAGAGGAGCTATTATTACAGTAGTGCAGTTGTCTATAAAAGAAACAAACAAAACCCTCACAAACAAACAACCCACACAAAAGACATCATCCCCTTAACTCTACAAGAGTTGTGTCAGTTAAATCAAATGATATAAACTTTATGGAGCAGTTGTGAAGTAAATCGTAAAAACTGTGACGAGGCTGTGGGAAAGGTGTGATCTGTAGCACAGCCTGCATAGTTCCCAGTTATCCAGTCAGGCTATATACTGTTGCATGCAGTTACTCGTCTGGACCACAACAGTAATTTTCTTCTGATGGAAACAAGGGTGGAAGGTGGAACAAAAGAAACTGAAAGAGCAAAAGATGAGGATGGAGCACAGCTAATTTCATCTCATGCTACTGTAGAGCCAGGATGCAGAAAGAGAATATATGTGAAGACAGAGCTGTAATATTATGAAGTGTTGCTGAAGTGTTTTAGAATATCTTATGTTCATTCCAGTTATACAGATTCATGGAAGGGCTTTAGTCCTAGCTAAGTCTTCGTGCCGGTCTCTCTTTTTTAAAGTTAATTCCTTTCCATTGTAGCTGTTCATGGTAAATATTACAAATAAAAGAGTAATTGTATTTAAGACAATTCCTTTAAAAGTATTGTCTGAGGCACTGTGAAGGTGTACAATTTACTTGTACATATGTAAAAGGTTACATATAAAAGATAG